AGATTATCTAGTTTTAGAATCGGGAAGAAAAAAGAATGGAGAAAGGTGAACAAAGTCTCAGAGGCCCATGGGATACCTTCAAGCTCACAACCTATGCATAGTGAGAGCCCCTGAAAAAGAGGAAAGGGACAGGAAGAGTATTTGAAAAAAACGGAGAGACCCCAGTTCAAAAAAGGTACTTCAATGATAGCTTGAAAGCTTGGATTTAAAAAAAAAAAGAGATATAGCCCTGGTCAGTGTGGCTCAGTTGGATGGGCGTTGTCCCATGCACTNACCCCAGTTCAAAAAAGGTACTTCAATGATAGCTTGAAAGCTTGGATTTAAAAAAAAAAAAGATATAGCCCTGGTCAGTGTGTCTCAGTTGGATGGGCGTTGTCCCATGCACCGAAAGACCCCTGGTTCGACTCCTGGTCAGGGTAAGTGCCTGGGTTGCAGGCTCCCTCCCTGATGGGGGTGTGCAGGAGGCAGCCAACCGATCATGTTTCGTCCTCACATTGATGTTTCTCTCTCTCCCTCCCTCTCCCTTCCTCTATCTCTAAAAATCAATAAAAAATCTTTAAAGAATTGAGATATAATTGGCATGTAGCATTATAGTAGTTTCAGGTGTACAACATAATGATTTGATATTTATATATGTTGCAAAATGACCGCCACAGTTATAAAGTCAGTCAGTCCTGGGGGGTTGGTGCACAGCGTGGTGGCTAATTTAACGATACTCTACTGCATATCGCAACGTTGATAAGAGAGTGATGGGGCTTTGAAACGGCTCCGACCCTATTCTGCCCCCTCTTGAATAAGTGCTCCTCAGATTGTCTGCGGTTAATTTTCAGTTTTGACAGCTTTTGTCAGTGTTCTTGTTGCTTTTATGGAGGAGAAAAATTTCCAGAAGTCCTCTCTCTGCCCCTTCTACTGTGCAACTTAACACGGAATTGACTTGGGTCATTATGATAAATTACTATTCGTATTATTCACCTACCTGGAAATTTGGAATATTTGCATCTCTCATCAGAAGTCTGGCAGTTTTCCAATGTTTCACAATTATTCTGACAAGATCAGTAGTAATATTAATAAATATGATTTTTAAAAATATTGTATAATGAGATGTATTATTAATATTTGGAAGAGCTCATGAGTCAAGCTTTTTCAGATGAACAATACATGATGTTACAAAATCATGCATGCGTACAAGACACATGTAAAATGCAATATAGGCCGAATGAATTTCATGTAGCAAGTATGAAAAATTCATTGATATGATTTCAGATCCCACATTGCAACTAATCTTTGAATAGTATCAAAGATCATCTGCAATCACTATTGAAGACTATTAAAATACTCCTACCTTTTCTAACTACATATCTGTGTAAGGCCAGATTTTTTTTAGATACTTTAACCAAAACAATGTATTGCATCACACTGAATGCAGAAGCACATATAAAAATCTAGCTGTCTCATATTAAGCTAGATACTAAAAATATCAAGAAATGTAGAGCAATACCACTCTTATGAAATTTTACTTTGTTTTGGAAAAATAGAGGTATTTTTCATAAAAAATATGTCATTTATCCTAACATGTAATGAGTTTATTTTTTGTTATTTTTAAGTGAGTAAATAAATGTTTTCGATTTTTCTCAGTTTTAGTATGGTAAATATTGATAGATATAACCCCTGTGAACAAATATTCTTTGGAGTCCTTAATGATTTTTGAGAGTATAAAGGGACCCTACTTCCAAAATGTTTGAGAACCTCTGGCTTAGACCAATCCAGGAGGTTCAAGCTCAGAAGAATCCCCATCTACTGTAGGTCACGTGGAGCTCTTTTTCTTTAATATGGAAATGATTACTTAGGAAAGAACCTAGAGTATTCAAGCAAGACTTTCACAGCAAGCTGGAGGAATGCTGCCACTTCCTTTGGCCAAAAGTAAAGACACTAAGGAGGGAACTCATTTAATTGTTCAGGGAATTGCTTCCTGGATGGTTTTGCATTCCTGTCAAATCACTGTAGGGCACGCAGGTCACTCTGCCAGCATCTTGCAAAGATTCGAAACCCCAACCCTATTAGCACCATTTCAACTGCTACCACTGAAGTCCCTTCTTTGCACTCCCTGGCTCTTCCAGTTTGTATCACACAACTTAGCACAGGACTGATCTACTAAGGAATTCATATTGTCTCCCCCAGCGGATTTTTAGTATGTTAGGGCTGGACATGATGTCTCAAGCATCTCCTTGACACTTCCTCAGCTCTTAACATATCAGGCACTAGGGCATGATTTGACACGAGTTTGTCAGTTAACCAATCAAGATGAAGACTTAGGACAGAAACACTTTATTTGCCAAAACGATCTCTCTACACTGTCATTTCCCCTCTCTGAACGTTAGTTTTTTAGGAGGACACACAGCGCCAAACTCCAGAGTCAGAAGGCTCTGGTGTCCTATGCTAGCTCCACCGCTTACTAGCTTTGTCCCTGTGGGGAAATTGCTCAACTCCCTTGAGCCTGAGTTTTGCACCCAGGGAGCAGCCAGCACACCATGGAACAGAGAGGAAGTTTTTAATGAATGCTGGGTTCCTTGCTCGACTTTCCCTCCCTCCTCTTCAAAGTGCTTAGAGATAATTATCCAGGACACGCCAACCACAAACCATAACCCTTTCAAAGGCATTCATTAACCAGTGAGAAGTTAATTATGCTTAATCTGCTTCCTTTTCCTCTTCACTGAATTTAAGATGACTTGTAAGTCTTATATCAGCTAAACACATGTTCCATAAAATCATTCATTGCTAAATCATAACATTCTCTCATCTGTTTATTTACCATTCAGAAGTTAAATATCCTCTATATATTTCTAAAATTCCTTTTATTTCTCTATATTTTTCTAAAATTCCTTTTGTTTTCCCCTCTTGATTCCTGAGAACCATCTCTGTTCCCTTCCCTGACTGATTTCTTACCTGGTCCTTTGTGCCTTATTTTCGTCTCTTTTCTCCACACAAGTCATGGTAATTTCAGGGAAGGTGGTTTATCCGGGCAGAGGGACCATGGCCTGGATGAATCAGGAAATCAGAATCACTTGGGATTTTCCAGAAGCCCATGGTGCTGTTTTAGGCTCCTTATAAACTCTCCACTGAGGCCAGATCTCCCAGAATGAATTGAAAAGAGGCAGGGCGGAATGGCGCGGACAATGCAAAAAAAGCAGAAGCTACTTTCTCTCCACTCCTCCTTCAGCTTTAATTGAGGAGACCTAAGCCTGATTAATGATGAGGAGGGTACAATAGCTCCGGGGGTGGGCCAGGGACAACTTGTAGAAGAATGTGTTGAGATCTTTAAAAGCAGATTCTCAGGCCCTTTACTCACACGTTCTGATTCAAGAATTTAAAATAGAGTCCCTGCTGATTATTCTGCACACTTCTTGAGAATCAGAGATAACCTGGTCTTAGCACTTCTCCATCCTTTCCTTTTTTATTGAGTTATATTTGACATTCAACATTGTGTAAGTTCAAGGTGTACAACATATTGATTTGATCCATTTATATTGCAATATGATTGCCATAGTATGATTAGCAATGCCTCCATCATGTTAGCATTAGCTAACACCTCTATCCACATTCTTACAGAATGCATATGGCATCAAGTTTCTGCTATGCAGAGCCCCCTCACGTTGATTTTCTCATTTGAACCTCAGAATAACCTTGTAAAATAAACAGAAGCAGGTACTGTTTCCCCCAGAAAGTTGCCCTAAATTTCAGTCTCCCTGAGTAAAGCCAGGTATTATTAGCTGTGGGTCAGGCTTGGCCAACCCCAGCCACCCCTGAGTGGCTTCCACTTGGGAACCAGGTTACTGACAAAAATAGAATTAGTCTATGATTTCCAAAGATGAGGCCTATGCGAGCTGGCACCCAACAGTTGAGGGCTTATGAACACATATGAGCTGAGGGAGACAAAGGGACCCCTCCAATGAGGAAGAAAGGTAAAGAAGACGGTGTGCCACAGCTGCGCAGGTCTAACGCTGACCCTCCTGGGTTAGACGTCTATGCACATTTTACACACATCAGTCAATAAAGGTCTAAGCGTTGCCTCTAAGTCCAAGCCATACTCCAGCTCCTGCCTTCTGAATGTGGTTGTTGACTTTGGAGCTGGATAATAGAGTGAGAACAGCAATGCCACAGTGACCATGCTGTCCAACAAGATCAATGGGAGTGCAGATTATAAAGCAAGTGTAACAAGTCTTTATTGGGACTGCAGAGCCTGGTGGGAAAGGTCAGCAAAGCATGCCAGGCTCTAGGCTCCAGGTGACTCCAGCCAATAAAGGGAGGGGCCACAGGAGTGCCATCCCTTCTAGAGCAGGAGAGCAGGCTTGGCATGATCCAGGATTTAGTTCCTTCCCTGCTGGGCCAAAGCTGAACACCGGGCTTGGTTTACGTAAGTCAGGATCACACTTGGACAGAGGGGTTTGCTGGCTGTGGTTTAGATCTAATAGTCACGTTAAATTAAAGAGGAAATGGCACTGTTCTTCATACACATGATCCTAGTATGGTGTTATCTTTACAGTCTCTTGGCAAGAGCCAGGCCTTCTTAGCATGCTGTTACAGAGTTATTGCTTATGCTGTTCCACTATGTGAGGTAGGAGACCTCAGTTACTTGTGTCTCACTCCAGAAAAGAATGCTTTTTCAAATTTCCATAGCATAAACATGGCTTAAAATAAAAGGAGAGAAGAGACTAGAATATAAAACATCTCCCCAGTCATCTAAGTAATTCTCAGCATTTTCAATTTGGGGTAAGATTGTGGGATGTCTTAAGGGACCTTCCCAGGGTTCTCAGCAGAACTGGGGGCAGACAGAGCTCAGAAGCCAGTTGCTTCCAAACGCAAACCCCTTTCCAGGGAGACCACAGGTGTCCTTGAGTGTGCAGGAAAAACCATGTCTGCTTTCTGTGCGTGCTGTGATGTAAGAAATGTTGGCATGCATGTCCAAACGTGGCAAACTTACCTGTCTGCTCTCTTCATCCTAGCTGTACCCGGAATGACGCTGCTGTATACCAGATTTCGGCTAAGAACTGTTTTGGAATGATCTGCTGCTCTGCTTCCATTGAGGTCGAGTGCTCGTCAGAGAGCACACAACTCTCACCTAACCCGAAAAGTGATGGGGACACAGGTTGGAAAGGAGAAACACAGACATGCAAGCAGAAAAGCACAAGTCAAACTGATGAGAAAGAACCTTCTAAGGAGGCAGAGAGCCTCTCCTTGGGGACTCCTATGTCAGCTGACGCCTCCTCCTCCAGGTTTAACCATTTATGCTCACTCCAGTTATTGGCCAATAATGACATTAATGCATCCAGTTCTGAAAATCCCCTGGATCTTAAAGCAACAAGGCAAACCGAGGAGGCTCATGATCCGAATAGCACAGAGGAAATTGCAGATGGGTTGCCTTTTCCTCATTCAAGCAATATTCCCGATAAACAGGATGTATGTCACCCTGGGACAGTGCAGTCCAAATTATCAGAATTAAGGGATGGTGCCTTAAACAATGACGGAGACTCAAACTCCAGTCCTCAAAGTCCCAAAGCACAGAAATACATTAGCGTCAGCCTACCGCTGTCGGAGGCAGCCACATCCATCTACCCAGGTGACAGGGCCACCGTCAACGAGCAAGCCAGCCCACGGGTTTCCAGCTCAGACTCTGACAGTGACTATGAACTTTGCCCAGAGATAACCCTAACCTACACCGAGGAGTTTTCAGATGATGACCTGGAGTATCTGGAATGTTCCGACGTTATGACGGATTACTCTAATGCAGTTTGGCAAAGGAACCTGGAGGGGACCGAGTGTATTTTTTTATTCGAAAGCGATGACGAAGAGATGGAATTCAGCAAGTATTGCCTGGGGGACTGTGAGCCTTTCCTCAGTGAAATGGGTTGTGGGCCTGGGGTGTCAGATAACACGGGGCCGATGGAGGCCTCCTCCCCGGGCTTCTGTGATCACTCCCAGCCCCAAGGAGTGAGGGGAAGGCGTCGCCGAGCCTCCACCCACAGCCCCCCATCCCTGCAAACAGGGATGACTCTTACTTCGGGATCTCACGAGGGTGGAACGTCTGCGGTGACAGAGCAGGGGAGATATAAACGACCCACCGCTTCTGCGGAAAATGATTATCCAGGAATTCAAGGAGAAACCAGAGACGGCCACCGAGCAGGAGAGGAACTCGCCAGTGACAATCTGCTAGCCATGGATGAAGCAGGGACACAGGGAGAGGTGAAGCGCTTGTCTGGTGAGTTAGGAAAGTCAGGGGTGAAGCAGTGTTTGGAGACGGTGGCCGAGAAAAGAGCAGGGGAAAAGAGGAGCTCAGAGAAACCTGCCAAGGCAAGGCGACCAGGAATGAAGGGAAAAGCCAGGAAGCTGAATCCCAACCTGAAGGACAGTGCGTCAGAAGGCCCCCTCAGTCACCTCTCTCCCCAAGAGCCTGCTAAGCACCCACTAGCCCAGAGTGATAAAAGCGAGAGTCCTCATGCCAGAGCGGAGGCTCCCGATCTGAATCCCCAGATCCGTGCAGAAGGTGCTGTTCTCACCCAAGCAGAGCCAGAGGCAAAAAGGCTGCAGACTCCACCAGGCGCACCCCCCCAGGAAGGGGGCTCAAACTTGGAGGGAGAAGGGGTGCAGGTTAATGACCTCTTTGAAGCAAGCTGGGCTCCAGACCAGAGTGATCATCATCAGGTAAGAGTCCTCTTTTTAAAAGTTACAAGATAAAAGGTATTTGTGTGTGTGTGTGTGTGTCCCTGTACTTCCCATTCCCGATTGCTGTACCACAACACTGGCAGGGTACTTGTGAATGACAGCTGCTGCTGCTGCTGCTAGGAAGGAAATCTGGTTTTGAAAAAAGTCCCAGATAAACCCTAAGCCATCCTAATTATAGCAAAAGACAGAAGTAAGAGGCACTAATGGGATTCTGGACAGCTGGAAAAAGAAACCTGATAGTTTGTCTACTGCATGTGTTTTACCAGGCAGTGTCACTATTCAGAAGGTTTTCAAACACATGTTTTGGGTGTAGCCTTTAAAAGAAAAACAAAAACAAAACATTCTTTTTAGTCATTTTGGAGGGGCACTTTGACAACGCTAAGCGCTGGCTTTAATCAGAATTCATAGTATAAATGAAAGACTTCTTTTGGGTGTGTCTGAAGGACTTGTAGAATTCACTCAGTGATGCTGCAGAGAGTAGACAAAGTAGATTTTGCTGTGCTGGTGGGATGTTTGGATCGGGTGTGTGTTTTGTTTAGTTTGCTTGGACCACAGAATATAAAATCATCTAAGAAAATACTGCCAGGAAGTATATTTATTTTACCCTGTTACTGACTTGGGGGTGTATTTTAAAGAGATTGAATTAAATTCATGGGGATAATTAATGCACAGATATCGTGTACTCGATATATGAATTTATTATATTTTTAATTTTAAAGGTTCTAATGGGCTTTGAACCAATGCTGTAATACGGCCAAAGTTTTACTTTGTAAATGAATACCTAAGAAGAGTTATTTATTAGTTATTTTTACTTTATCTTGTGTTCTCCCTTCCCCTACCTTTGTAGTAGGAACCCAGTCTTGTTTTTGTAGGCTAGACGCACTCCAAAGAACATAAAATATTCCCAAATACACTCAAACTTATTAAACTTTCTGTGAAAAAGTCAAGATTTAATACATTGATTTCTAACAACCCAGCCATAAAATAGGCAATCTAAAAATCTCCAGATCTGAGGCAGCTTTTTACTGAACAAATTGTCTCCCACTGGCCAGACTGACGTAGAAAAGCCCCGTTTATACTTTACTGTTTGCACGAGAGCCAGGTTTATATCCTATGTGGTTGTTTAACACCCACCATTTTGCTGAGCACGTACCCATGACCACAGATCATGCCCAAGATAAGTTTATGGAGGTGGTTTGGCCAGATATTAATGCAAAATTTCGGTTAAAACATTAATTTTTGCATGTCAGTAAATGTGGCATTTCCTTTTCTATTCATAAAGTGCTTTTCCTGGCTCAGCGAAGTGCCTTTTTACAGTTGTTTACCCATATTGAGCTTTCCTTTGGGCAAATTAATGATTAAAGGTTGGGGCAGAGGGTGTAATGTAGCCAAGAAGGAATAAGTGGAAGGGAGAGGGCTAGTGACACTGTTAATTTTAGACCCACCACAGTGGGAGGCAATTTCTAGCTCCCTCAATTGCCCAAAACTGAGAGGAGCTAAGAGAAGGATCCCTCATCCTCAGCTTGTGCCTGAACTGAATTTTGAGATCTTGACTCCTGTTGACCAGCAGGCTCACTTGTTTATTGGCAATGCAGCTAAATATAATGCACCATCTCTGGGACCAAGGTTGTCTGTCTTGTGCACATTCTTGTCTTTATTGAAGTTCTTTTTTTAAAAAAAATTCTTTTAAAATTATTATTTATTGATTTTGAGAGAGAGAAACATCAATTTGTTGCTCCACCCATTTATGCATTCATTGGTTGATTCTTGAATGTGCCCTGACTGGGGATCGAACCCACAACCTTGGCATGTCACTCTAGCCAGAGTCTATTGAAGTTCTTATGGGACTCTTGCTCACACACTCACGCACAGTCATACATTCATGAATGCACACCCAGCTCAACAGCTATTCACTCAAGGTCTGACCTGTGCTTTGTGGCATGACTATTATCTCAGAACCATGAACGTGACTTTTGAGAAAGCTGGCATTCTGCAGGCAGTAGGTCCCTTTCTCAGTTCGTTGTGCTCAGTAGCAGAGCTGAGCTCTCACTCAAGGGACAACCAGAAATGTGAATGAAAGCTGTATATTCAAGAGCAGTTCCGTCCAGCATGAAGTTAGAAATAGGGTCTTTTTACCTGTAGCAATTATTTCCTCTTGGCCAAAGCAAGAAAATTTTGCCACAGGAAGAGTGGCATAGGGAGCACAGATTCTTTTACACGTGTAAAAAGTTACTGTCAAACTGCAGGAGATGTCTGTGTTTCTAACACACATATGCAATAGAGCCAAATTTATAGCAAATGGCTAAATATCCTTGTAAATGTGACACAAAAGCATGGGCGGGGTGTCATTGGGAATGAAATAAAACTTAATACTGCTCAAAAAATAAAGGGTAATGAATCTTTTCATAACTAAGTCAAAAGACATTTTAAATATTTATTCTCAGACATTTGAGGCTTGTGGGAATTTAAAATTTTGCAATGATTAAAGACCCCTGGTTGGGAGCAATATTTAGTAAATTTGCCCAATTTTGACTCTTGCCTTATGTACTTACCTTTAGGTGTCTTTTGTAGAGACAGTGACCAGCAGCTTATCTTTTAGTATTTTCTCTTCATCTGCATATTGCTTTTAGCATCTGGAAACAATTCCGCATCTCTAATTCTGCGCTCTAAGCAAACCTACATTGTAGAAGATACCCTGCCTGCACCTGTGTCTCCAGGTGTACCTACTTCCTGTCTCCCTTTCTCGCTTTTACAGCGCAAGGCCATCTTGTTCTGCTTTGTCTGGAAATAATCCTTACCCAGGCTGGGACTGGAAAGCCCCCAGCTTCTCTACATTTATGGAAGATGCCAAAGCTAATCCCAGTTTGGGAGTGGAAAATAGAGAGGGTACCCCAGGTTAACTTGAACCATCTTCAAGGGTACACCGCCAATCCTTCACCTTGGTTTTGATCTCACTTTTCTGATCCAACTCAGAGGCAAGACCTGACAAGCTGCCCATCTTAAGTTTCTCTGTAGCCACACTGGGGTAAGATCATCCTCACTCTTAAATCAGGAGTGCTGTGCCTGTACTTTGGCAGAGCTGCCCAGCCTCACCCCAAAGAGACTTACATTTCTCTCTGGGGCCATGGGGTCTCAAGAGTAGAGTATGGAAATGTCTTCTTAGGTTCTGACAGTAAAGAACCTTTCTGACCAGAAATAAGCACTAAGCATAGAAGGTGAGCTCCATGGTGGCAAGGAGTTTGGTCACTGTATTTTGTTCACTGATATATCCCAAGCCCTTGGAACAGCGCTGGCCGCATAGTAGCCACTCATTAATTGAGTAAGTAGCCATATGATACTAGACTAAATTCCAGGTATAGCCAGGTATGATTCTGTGATGATCGGTCTCAACTACTTCATGGCTTTCATTGTCATAAGTATAGTCCATGGCCCCCTTCACGTACCAACTTTCCATGGGGAAATTGTTTCCCATTGCTCTTTTTGTCCTGGGAACAGAGTGGTTTGTGCTAGAGTCCCCCTACCTTGTACTTGGGGTCCCTTGTGAATGCTGGTGATTCACATACAACCTTGGCCTTATCAGTGTCTTATTAGCTCTCACAAGGCTGACCAGATCCAGGAAGGTCTTACCATGTCGCCTTAGCATTCAAGACCTTCCACAGTATTGCTCCCCTCTAC